TTGACGCGCTGGAATTTCAAGAATTTCTAGCTTTTATCTATTTAATTGTCTACCACTTTGCATTTTCTATATACATACGAATGTATACTCGTATTAGCCATACCGTAAGCTCAAATCAATGGCGAGCACTTAGTTTATGCGCTATTTTAAAGTGTTTTTTATATTATCAATTTTTTTTTTATTTTACAGAACAACAACAAATGCGAAATCATGACAACTCCATTAAGGTGCAACAGCAGCAAATGCATAAAAATAGCGTCAACAGCAACAACAATAAGAGCAGCAGTAAAAACATGACAACAAGTGAAGCAAAAGCGAATACAATTAATAGCGAACATTACAAAGCGAGTGCTGTTATCAGCAGCGTTGGCAATAAATGTGCGAGTGAGGTAACGGAAGCCGGCGCTACATCGACAGCAACAGAAACTGCGACGGCGATAACGACAACGACAGCGACACCGCCAACGACGGCGGCAAATGCAGCTGTTCCATCAACATCAGAGACGACAGCGGTGGCAACAAGCGACATAGAAATCGCATCAAATAGAGCCGCCACAACAGCGGCCACATTAAGAACCCCCAGCGCCGTTGGCTTAGCTGGCAGCACCGGTTATGCAACCATGCCGCGCCGCAGTCTCAGCGGCAGCAGCCACAGTCACCATCACACCAACGGTGGCAACGCGAACGCGAAATGCGGAAGCGGCAGTGGTAGTACTAGTGGCGGCATAGCCATGACAGCTGATAAGGCCACGACGGCGAGTGACGCGACGGCGGACAACTGCCGCAAATTGGCCGCCACTTTGGACAATCTCGACTTGGCTTTGGTGCGCGATTTGACCGACGATGATGGCGAGGACTCGTATGCGGCCTTTCAAGAGTATCTGGAGCGTGTAGAGGTAAGTGCGCTGGTAAAATTAAAAGAAAATCTCCCAGTGATAACAGTAAATAAGTAGGGCTTTGTAGAAATTTCAACTACTGAGCTTGTTTTTGTGCAGCCATTATTTTATTTTGTTTAAGTATGGGGAATTCTTTTTTAAACCGCACCTCCACATTTTGCTGGTGCGAAAAAAAATGTTTTGAGCACATGAAAAAATTGGGCATGAGGTGTAGTTTTTAATACCGTCTGGTTTTTGAGAAAAAAAATGTCTAACCTCAAACTAACTGTCGAAAGAGACGCGTGTCGCCAAAAAATGCAGGATGTGTTTCGTCAAAAATGGCAAAAAAATTTACATATTCAAAAACTTCAAACAAAACATTATTATGGAGGCTCTCGATGTCAGTTTTCAAATTCAAGATGTCCACCCCTACCCAACATTTTTTCAAAGTCGGAAAAGGAACAAAAATACTGTCCGCCATCTTGGTTTTACCATATTTAATTGAAAAACTGACATCGGATCCATATCCAGCCACAAAAAATTATGATTTAGTCGAATTGATTTGAATATTTTTATTTTGTCGATCATTTTTGACGAAATACCTGCATTTTTCCGCGATACGTTTCTCCATAGACAGTTATTTTGAGGTTAGACAATTTTTACACAAGAGACCAGACGGCGTCAAAAACTAGACTTTATGACAAGTTTTTTCATGTGCTAAACATGTTTCTGCTTCCACAAGAAAAATGGGCTGGAAAAATGGGTGGCTGGTTTGCAAAAGAATTGCCCATATACATATATAAAGTTTATTCTTAAGCCAAAAACCTATAAATCCAAGTTAAAAATTTTGTCTAATATTTGAAAAAAAAAATATCAACAAACTTTGGTACAAATTTCAAGATCGTTGGTTAGATTTCTTCGAAAGATTTTGGGTTTGCAGTTTTTGCAGCCAATTCTATTATTTCGCTTTAGTTAAAAGTAAAGAAGACCACCATTTGATTTTTTATTTTACTTTTTTGTTGAAGGCGTTGCTCTTTTCTTCCGCATAAAGAATCTTCGAACTTACATACTTCTTATGGAAGAAAAAGAGCAACCACCTTCAACAAAAAAAATTGAAATTTTTTCCCCAGTGTAATTTTTTTTTTTAATATTGCACAAAGTTTTAAACGTGAATTTATATGGTTTTTTTTTTTAAGTAGAAACTATTTTCATAAAAAATAATTAAAATAAACTAAAATACAACAAATTTTTTAAACTTGGCAATATATATACATATTTTGCGCTTATAATTTTGACACAGGGTATACATTCGCTATTTATTTATCACATATGGCTGCGAGAGTCTATAAATAATTGCGTACATACATATATACATATATATGTAGTGTGGATACTCGTTACACTCGAAAATAGTCTTTTAGAACCAAAATACCTTTAGAGAAAATATTTAAAAGAAAAATCATGAAACAATTGCGCAAGTCTTGTTTATGTTTATGTTTGCGCTGCGTTGCGTTGCGTTCACGTCAAATTGGCATTTTTTCCATTCGCTTTTTCTCATATATTTTTTACGATTATTTAGCTAAGGCAAATGTTGCTATTTAGTTGATTTTGCATTATTTTTTCTTTTCAACTACTTTATTGTTTTCTATGCAGCGCAAATCCTCTTATGTCACTATAAAGCTACACAAATGCGACGAGGCTGTTAAAATGCTCACGCGCATGCGCACGCGTTCATGCAATGCGTTTTTATATTACCTTTTAGTTTTTCTGTTGAGTTTTTTTTGTTTTGCTTTTTTGTGGATCGTAAATGCCGAATGTTTAATGGGTACATTACCCCCGTCATGTCGCATGTCAACTACACACAATTGTTCAACTGGCTAGCTAAAGTAAACAAACCTACGAATGCAGCTCATGTGTATACCTATTGATGGTTATGAAAAAATCGCGCAAATTGCTATTACTTTTGAAACTGAAAAAAGCCATGGAAAAGCTAAATGTGACAAAATGATAGTGAAAATGAAAATTCGCAGCTGAAAAGTTTGTTTAAGCCTCAGTTGAGCATACATATGTATGCCAGCCACCAAGCAGAAGGTGTGTAAACCAGCTTAATGAGTTTCGTCACCTTTTGCTATCTCATTTCAAAAAAATAAAAAATTGAAAACAAGAAACATAAGCGCAGGCAAAAATTTATTAAGTAGGTAAAGAAATCTATTTATATACATTCGTAGGCACACGTGAACGTGCCTTTTTGCACCCAGCGCATATGCAGTACAATCGGGATTGAATGAAGCCCGGCATAGTTGAACTGCTCGATCGAGTGAACACCAATTTCTATCCTTTGTACTAAGTAGAGTGAACAAACATTAAGAATAAAAATGAATGCAAATAAGGAAAATTAATGCAAAGGCTATCGAGCGGGCCGAATCCCCTTTATGATACACTTATCCTTCGAAATTTTGGGGATGATGTCTAGAAGAAAATAAGGCTTTTTTGGAAGAAATTAATTTTAATTTATAAAAAATACTAGCGGTACCCCGGTGTGCTTCTCTACATCAAAGATTGAAAAATCCAGGAATTTTTCTATATGAAATTTTTATTTTTTTGTACAATATTGCAGCCATGTTTATACTTGACTTAATTTATCCGAAGAAAAAATAAACACAGCACATCATAGCAACAAATTTTCACTATGTTTTCGATTTTTCATATATCTGCTGTTGTACCATATACATATGTACGTGGTTCATGTGACAGACATAAACTGTCATATATCATGAACCGATGAACCGAATTCGGGCACACTTCACATAACCCATCTGCATGATAGTCCGAATACACCGTTTAAATTTGGTAGAATTCGTGCACTTATTTTTAACCGACTTCCAAAAAAGGAGGAGGTTATCAGTTCGTGGGAATATTTTTTTTTTTTTTTTTTTGTATGTATGTTACCGCATAACTTTGGACCACGTCAACCGATTTCGATTTCCGGAAAGGTAGTGTCTCAGAGGTGGTCCCATACTAATCTGGTTGAGATCCGATCAGTGGATCATGAGATATATATATATATATATATTTTTTATATGGGAGTTGAAGTCGGTTTTTTTTTGCTAAAAATTACTTGTTTTATTTAAGATGGGGAATATGGAATTATTTCATATGTCTCTATACCAATTCCAGTAATCTACCACAAATATTTCAAGACATATACCAGATGAAAATTTTTGATGGTATGGGTGGTGCCATGCCCCCTTTTCCGAATTCGGGGAAACTTAACACAAACCATCTGCATAATAGCCCGACTATGCCATATAAATTTGGTTGAAATCTTGCACTTCTTTTTTATATACAAGATGGGAGGTGCCACGCCCTCTTTTCCAATACCGCCCATTTTTCTCCATGAGTATGGAATTATTTGATATAACTCTATACCAATTTCCAGTACTCTACCACAAATATTTCAAGAGATATACAACATAAAAATTTTAGTTAGTATGGGAGGTGCCACACCCCCTTTTACGAATTCGGGCAAACTTCACATAAACCATCTGCATAAGCTTACACCAAAAACGTGTACTTATTTTTTATACATAAGATACATATGCCACGCCCCCTTTTCCAAATTTGGTCAAACTCCACATAAAATATCTGCATGATGGCCCGAATATGCTATATAAATTTGGTTGAATTCGGTGGAGCCATTCTCAAGTTATAAGCTGACTCACAAATTTTTATATATAAAGTAGAGCCGCCACGCCCCCTTTTCCGAATTCAAGCAAACTTCACATAAACCATCTGCATGATAGCCCGATTGTGCCGCATAAATTTGGTTGAATTCGGTGAAACCGTTCTCAAGTTATGAGGTCACTTCAAAAACGTGCACTTATTTTTATATATAAGAAGATTTGAATTGAATATGATATGATATTTTAAATAAAATGTACTTATGTAGTGAATGAATGAAAGGGTCATTAAATTGCTGATTTGACTTCTCTGAACAATCCTATTTGAATTGAACAGGCCTTGCACGAACTAGCTCACTCTACCCGGATTGTGCCCAACGCATAAAAAAACCCCAACATAAAAGATATAGTGGGAAAAATTATTATGTAGGTAAATAAATCTATGCTCATGTGAATTACCTTTAAACAAAATCTTTTTAATTGAATTGGCAACTTTGCTATACCAAATCGAAGATCAGAAACCCATAATTTTTCAGAAAAAAAATTATTTTCGATTTTTTGGTATCAACTGCAGAAAAGAACTTCGGCTGTTTTTTTGTAAATATTGCAGATGTGGACTACTTATAACTTCACCAACATCCATTTTTGCCTCCTTTTTGAAGGAAAAGTGGCAATACATACATATATGTCCAACGTACGCTTCTGAGTTCAAAGTATTTTTGCAAGGCAATGTCGAAAAAAAAAATCTGTCAAACTTTGTACATTTTTCAGTGGCACCTACATATGTATATTCGTTCGAGTCCTGGGACAGCGAAATTTTTGTTTTGTTTTTGATTAATATTTTTTTTATTAATTCATTTGATTTGTAGAAACTTATTTTGTGTATTTTTTAATTCAATATTTTTTTCGTTATTAATTTAATTTTCTTTGAATGTTTAGAATATTTTATTTAACTTTCTTAAAAAAACTGTTTAAAAAAGGAAAAATCATTTCTTTCAACTTGATACATTTTTAGGAACCCTATTTTATTTATTTATTTATTTTTTTTTAATTTAATTCATTTTTCTATTTGTGAGTTAATTTTCTTTTAATTCTTCCACTTGGCTTTAAAATTTTTTTTTTCCTTGTGTAAATCTTTTTTTTTTTTGAATATTTAATACTATTTTCTTTTTTGATTTAATTGTTTTCCTTTCTTATCAAATTTTTATATTTTGTTGTTTCAAAGAGGAAAAAATAATATTTCATTTAATTTGGCTTTATTTTCATGTTACATATTTGTTTTCTTTTTGTTTTAATTTTCCTTTATATATTATTTTTTATTGTTAATTAAAAAAAAAAAAA